CCAATATGGCCACCATGTTATCCAATATGGCCACCATGTTATCCAATATGGCCGCCAATATGGCCACCATGTTATCCAATATGGCCACCAATATGGCCACCATGTTTTCCAATATGGCCACCAATATGGCCACCATGTTATCCAATATGGCCACCATGTTATCCAATATGGCCGCCAATATGGCCGCCAAGTTCTCCAATATGGCCACCATGTTATCCAATATGGCCACCAATATGGCCACCATGTTATCCAATATGGCCACCAATGTGGCCACCATGTTATCCAATATGGCCACCAATATGGCCACCAATATGGCCACCATGTTATCCAATATGGCCACCAATATGGCCACCAATATGGCCACCATGTTATCCAATATGGCCGCCAATATGGCCGCCAATGTGGCCACCATGTTATCCAATATGGCCGCCAATATGGCTGCAAAGTTATCCAATATGGCTACCAAGTGATTTATCCAATATGGCCGCCCCCACGTGACTTATCCAATATGGTTTTTCCTGTTAATTCCTGGTTATACTGGTTTATACTGGTTTATACTGGTTTATACTGGTTTAAACTGGTCCATACTGGTCCATACCGGTTTATACTGGTCCATACTGGTCCATACTGGTCCATACTGGTTTATACTAATCCATACTGGTTTATACTGGTCCGTACTGGTTTATACTGGTTTATACTGGTTTTTACCCATTTTTAATGGTTTTTTCCTGTTTTTTTCTATTTTTTTTCTCCATACTGGTCCATACTGGTCCATACTGGTCCATACTGGTTTATACTGGTCCATACTGATTTATACTGGTTTATACTGGTTTATACTGGTTTTTACCCATTTTTAATGGTTTTTTCCTTGTTTTTTCTATTTTTTTTTCTCCAAACCGACCCAAACCGACCCAAACTGGTCCATACTGGTCCATACTGGTCCATACTGGTCCATACTGGTCTATACTGGTCCATACTGGTCCATACTGGTTTATACTGGTTTATACTGGCTTTTACCCATTTTTAATGGTTTTTTTCTGTTTTTTTCCTGTTTTTTTCTCTCCAAACCGGTCCATCCCGACCCAAACTGGTCCATACTGGTCCATACTGCTCCATACTGGTCCATACCGGTCCATACTGGTTTATACTGGTTTATACTGGTCCATACTGGTTTATACTGGTCCATACTGGTCCATACTGGTCCATACTGGTCCATACTGGTCCATACTGGTCCATACTGGTCTATACCAGTCCATACTGGTCCATACTGGTTTATACTGGTCCATACTGGTCCATACTGGTTTATACTGGTCCATACTGGTTTATACTGGT